CCTAGTTATGCTCTAAACAGCTAACGGCAAGGAGAATGGGGAGGCTAAAGCAAAGGGATCAGCTGTGCATGGAGGAGAAAGCGATAGCAAGGCTGACTTGCTGTGGACTCCCTTGCTTTTAAAAAACAAATTGTTGCTGTGGACGGGGGTACTGTGCAGCCCCAGAAATGCTCCCAGCAGAAAGGATTCTGCGACGCAGTTTCAGTGCCAGACTCGTTTTGTGATTAGCACTGAGGCCCTGCTGCGCTTGCAAGGAGCAGAGCTGGGGGTGCAGCGGGGAGGGAGCTAAACTCTCCGTAATCCTGGGCTGCTGAGGTGGTGATAGCATTAAGAGCCAATGTATGCTCCCAGCTGCCCGCAGTGCGCATAAGCCAGGATGTTTCTCTTAACAATCCCTGGAGCCTTCCTAACGGTCTGCATGCGCTTGCTTCTCTGCAGAAGCAGATGAAATTCCTGGAGCAGCAGCAGGAGGATAACAGAAGTTCAAAGGAGGAGGCTCGCCGCCTGCGAAACAAGCTGAGAACCATGGAGAGGTGAGATCCTGGGCTCTCCTTGGGCCTTGCAGGCTAGGCTGTGCACGCCTCTCCCCTTCTCAGACAGGGAGGGAGGGTGGGTCCTGCTGTGCCTGCCACAGTGTCCGCTTCTACATCCTGGGTCTTCTTACCCCGTCAGGTTGAAAACTGCTGCATTAACAAGTTTGCTCTTGCCCCTGCTATGTTTCCAGATGGCTGTTCTCCCTAAATAGCAGCAAGGCATGCTGCTGTGTGCAGACTAGCCTCTTCTCCAGTGCTCTAAGCATGGCTATGTGCCATTCCTGTTATCAGAGGATGCTGGGGCAGAATCCCAGCCCAGGAGTGTGGTCAGCCACGAGGCTAAAGGGCCCATCTCTAGAGGTCCCTTCCAACCCCTAACATCTTGTGATTCAATGTCGGCCCCATGTGCAGTATGTGTGTACAGATGCCCCTTCTCTAGTCTGTCCACATAGTGCTGCTGTTCCCTAGCAAAAAGCCCTGCATGTGGTGGGGCAGTTGTCTCTTCCCACACAACATCCAGAGTGCCTGCAGCATGAGCTTCAACTGCACCAGCTCCTTGGGGGGAAGCAGGGCTTCAGTCTCTTTCTCAGCTCTGTTTGTGACTCATGAGCTGAGAGTACTTTTTTTTTCCTGTGTGTGTATGTGCAGGATTGAGCTGTTGCTTCACAGCCAGCGCCCTGAAGTGGAGGAGATGATCAGAGAGATGGGAGTTGGGCAGGCAGCAGTGGAACAGCTTGCGATCTACTGTGTCTCACTGAAAAAGTAGGTGCTGTGGGCTTTGCACAGCTGGCTCGTGCTGTCCTGGGTGTGCCCAGGGAGAACTCTTTGCAGAGTACCAGCAGGCACATGGGCTCTGTGGGGCTCTTCCTGCCTGCTTGGGCCTCCTCTAGGTTTTGACTTGACGCCTCCTGGGGACTTGGATGGGAGCCTGTCACACTGAACTGTTCCTGTTGTCACTGTAGTGACATGCATGTCACCATGGGAACTATCTCCAGAGTTGTCAGTGCACCTACGAGGTGGTGATGATTATTCCTTCTGTTCCAGTCTCGTGCCTGGAGGGAAATGAGTGGATGAGGGACTCTGGGTTGTACCCTCTGCTGCTGCAGTGCGCTTTGCAGCTGTGGCCTCGAGCACTCTCTCACAAGGCACTGCAGTGCTGCCCTTCCCTAACTGGAAATCCATCTCGTCCCACTGGGCAAAACCACAGCTTTTTTTGGGTCCATTCTGATGGCAGCTGAATAATTGCAGCTTTGATGCAAAGCTGTAATGAGGCAAGTGTCCCTGTGGTGTAATCGGGAATGAATGTGCATCGCCAATGGCGTGAAGTCTCTGAAAAGTCACTTAAAGCAAAGTCCACAATTTGCTGCCAGCATGGAGGCTGCTTCGTTGTCTGTCTGTCGTTTTCCATCGGCATCTGAAGTGTTTCTGGATCCAGTTTCCATTTTGCTGGTGAAATCTGTTCGGGCCCTGTTCTCAGGCATAGCAGGTTTTTTCTCCTTTGTGGAGTAGTGGTATGTTTGACATGCTGATGGTCAGCGTTGGCACACTCAGCTCTATTTCCTAAAGGGCTTTGTGTCTCCTGGGTTTTCTCTGATGGCTTTGTAGTTGCAGAGCTTCAAATTAAGGGTCTTGGCTTGTCTCTGAGAAGTTCTGTCTCAATCCTCTTGCAAACAGCATGAATCTTCTGGTCTTATTGCAGGGAATATGAAAGCTTGAAGGAGGCTCGGAAGATGTCTAGCGAGATGACAGAGAAGCTGAAGAAGGAGCTGTTTTCTGTCAATAACAAGGTAAAGGGAGAGTGTGAACTGTCAGGGTCTCACCTGCTCTGTAGATCCCCATGAATAACTGTGCTCCAAGGCCTCTGCAGTGACCTCCTCCCACACTGAGCACTGGTACAGGTGGTGTGGAAGTGTCAGGCTGGGATTTCTGGGTCAGGGTGTCATGCTGTGGTGAGCAAGGAGCTCATGAGCTGTTGTCAGGCATGTGCAGTCTCTGGGGACGCTGGTGGGGCAGCGTGTGCAGAGCCAGACAACCTCGCAGGGAGCCTGGACTGGAAGGCAGCAAACACAGGTGCTCTACTGCTTCCACTGGGTTCTGGAAGTCATGCTGCCTTCATCCTGCCACGCTGCTGAGCATGAGCTAGCTCAGCTGCCAGCCCCTCCTGTTGCAGAATCAGGCCCCTAGGAAAGGTGGGAAAGAATTTGGAGACAGCACTGATTGAGCAGGGCTTAGCCCTGGCTTGACACAACCACTGTCACACTCAGCCTTGTGCCTTGTGCCTTCTGCCGACTGAACTGCATCACGGCTCCCACATGATGCCATGCCCAGGTGTGAGAGGTTCCTCAAGTGCAGTGAGGACACGCAAGTGGTTCTGCTTGGAGCCTGCCTGAGCTGGTCCTGACCTGGCACAGAGCTTGGAGTTGCTGATGTGCTTCTATTGCTGTGCTCACTTTGCTCCAGGCCTGGCTGGGCTCTGTTAGCTCAGGTCAGGAGTTGCTTTCTGTTGATTCTGGTAGCAAAGCCCCAAGAAAACTTTGCGTGTAGCCTTATTTTCCAAGGCACAGGTGTTCCCTGAGCATTCCCATGTCCAAACTTTTGCAAAGTGAGAGACTGTGGGTGGATTTGGCCTATTTTTGTTACTCAGCCGTAGCTGTTGTGATCCCCAAATGGAGAAGGAGCTTCTGAGCTAGCTGTGCTGCTTCCGAAGGGACTTAACCCCCTGTATGAGGTGCTGCTGCTGGAATCTAGCTGCTTCTGGCTGAGTCAGTGCTGCAGTCACCAGTCTGGGTCAGGAGGATGCGAGTCAGTGCACTCAGGGCTCCGGACTCGGCTGACGGAGAGCTGACTGTACCGTCACTGTGGACTGACCCAAACTTCTGAACCCACAAATGTCTCTGATGCGGTAGGAGTCCACTTCCCGACCCCTGCTCCTGGCGTCCTTCCCTGTTGAATCAGGCTTGTCCATGCGCCGGTACTGCTGATGCACAACCGTCCTCCAGCCTGTGGTTTGTAATTCCTGTGCTTTGGTGGGCTCAAAGTCCTGCAGGAATTCAGAATGCAGCCAGCAAGTGTCAGAGCAGGGAAAAGCTGTCACCATCAGGCAGAAACGGTTGGGAAATGCTATAGGAAGGTTTGAGTCAGGCAAGCAGCCCTGGAGATCCCTCTGCAGGCAGTTTGAGGGAATGGAGAGGCTTTTGGTTGCTCTGATACAGGAGAGAGGGGCCAGACCACCACAGGAAAATTGAGCCCTGAAGCAGGGGAAAGCAGCATGAGCTGCAGAGTGTACTGCTCTCCTGGGGGATCTGCAGTCTTGCCTTACCTGTGCGTTGTAACCAGCACTCTGCTGTTTGGGGCGGGGGTTTGTTCTGCAGCTGCAGAAAACGGTTTCAGAGCTGGAGAAGACAAAGGAGGAGTTAAAAAGCACCCAGAAGGATCTGAAGAATGCGGACAAGGAGATCTTGGTGAGAGTATCATTCCTTGGTCTGCAGTAACTGGCAGCTGGCCATGTCCTGCAGCTGCAAAGCCTGGAGTTACGCTGGCTTTTGCTCCGTGACTAGGTTACCCAGCCCACCTTACCTCTCATCTGCCTTGCTTTTGAGCTCCACTTGATGCTGATTTATGGAAAAGGGGCAAAGTATCTGCTACTAAATCTTTCTTTATCTAGCTGTTTGCTTTCCCTTTCCTTTCCAGAGTTTGAAGAAGAAGATAGACATCCTGCAGGATACTTTGAAGGTCCCATCTGTAACCAGAGAGACACTCAGTCGGCTAGTTTTTGAAAGGTTAGTGAAGTGCGTCCTCAGATACAGGCCAAGGACAGAGATGGCAGGTCCGAAGTAAAAGTTGACAGTTTAACTTCCTGGGCAGACAGGGATGTGCTGGTCTGACATGCATTGTAGTAGCATGGTTGTTTTGCTCCTTGTATTTTATTTTTTTTTTTTAAATTGTTGCTGATAAGGTGGTGTTTGGCTTACTTGGAAAAAGTGTGTGTGTTGTAGGGTTTGGGTCAGGATGGGATGGAAGAATGAGCTAGGTTTTGACACTCACTCTTTGTCACTGTGTTTTGCCAGTGAAATATCCCTAAAGCTGCTCTTTTGATTACCTGTGTATGGGGACTGGAGATCTTAGCCAGTCAGAGGAACCTAACCTAGAGCATCTGTTACATTTTTATCAAGGCCTTTCTTGCAAGGAGCATTTGCTATTACCCCAGTACAGCAAGCTGGGCTGTTTACAGAGCAGCAGTGTGCCAGCGTGTTTCCCTGGGTACTGCTGTCACAGCATGGGCCATTTGATGGTGAACAGTAGTTTAGCACATTGACTATAAACTCTGGGATTCGACTTGTCCTTTCTGTGGCTTGTAAGCAGAACGGGGCTCTGATTCTGGTCCCACTGCTGTCTTGCAACTCAAATCACATGGCATGCAGCTTTGTCTGCTGGGTGGCTGGTGCTGGCCTCCTGCTGGCTGACACTTTGCCTGGTTTTCCAGCCCTGCTCCCGTGGAACTGCGGCACCCGAAGCTCCACCGCCCATCCCACAGTGACGAGATCAATCTAGATGCCACTTTTGATGTGGACACCCCTGAACATCAGCCCTGCAGATCTCTCGTCAGCCCTGCAAAAAGGCAGAAGCTGGATAAAAAGCCGTGAGTTTTCCCTCCTCTTTCTGTCTCTAAAGGAGATCAAAGTCTTGCTTCTTTGGAAGTTACTGTGTGAGATCAGATAACTCTCCAGATGCCTGATGTCGTGCTGCAAGTTTTGTCGTCATTTGCTTGGCCTTGTCTGTCCTTGCCAGCTCCACTTGAATAATCAATCTCTGCTGATTTGCTCCTTGGACTTCTTACAGGCCTCCTGTGGTAAATCTGGCGAAGAAAGTTCTGAAGGAAACAGTGGAGGTAAAAGGACCAATCTTGATTTTTCTCTATCACCTTTTTGATTCTGCTGTTAATAAGCTTGGGATAAAGGGACCTTGTTCTCCATGTAGGAGAAGCTGTGACCGTAGACCAACCCATCTACAGAACTGTGGTACATGCTTCAAAGTGTGTGACAGTCTCCTAGAAACATTGGTTTGCTGCCTCAGACCTCCTGGAATTGGGCAGCAGAGGGAGGGTGATGATCCATGTGCTTCTTGGTGATTATCCTGCCTCAGATGTGCTTGGCAAACATGATGTGGGACTGACCACAAGGGCTGTGGGGTCAGCTAAGGAGACTGTTCTCCCAGCCTTGCTGGGTGCAAGGTCCTGCCTCCCAGGTGCTGTTCCACACAAGCCCTGGTGGAGGGCTTGAAGCTTCTGTTCTCTGGCCTTGCAGTCACCATTATCCTAAATAGCTGCTTGTGTTGTTAGCGCTCCCTGTATGTGGACTAAATTCAGCAGGTCATGCTGGTTAAAGGACTTTTCTCGTTACTTTGTGGGACAGAACTGGGCAGATGATTTGGAGGATGATGCACTTAAAGGACTTTTGCCAGCATTCATCAGGAACTCTGTTCTCTCCAAGAAGCCATCCTTGGGTAGCTTGCTGGGTCCCCCCAAGAACATGGGCACTGTAAGTATAACTGTCCAGTCGGTGAGCTTGTTGAGGGCTGGCACTGCACACCTCTGTCCTGAAGTGACTCTGCAGGAGGAAGCAAATGAAGCTTTTACCTTGCCACATACACTATGTGGAAAAATAAATCTTGGAGATACTTCCCAATCCTGCAGAGCTCCAGGGACGACAAATGCTTGCTCCCTTCCTGGCAGCAGACTAAATGGCCTTCCATGTCCCATTCCTCCACTTTCTTGGAGCTTTGGGTGTTTCCTCAGTCATGGTGACAAAATCCTAAGCCTCGCTGTTGCTTGGAAGGCTCAGCTTACTTCAGAAAGTGCCCAAGTGAAGAGGGTCCCTTTCGGAGAGCCGACCGAGTAACGACAATCCCACCGATACGATTCCATGCCGTCCTCAATTTATTGCTCAAATTAGCCCAATATATATACGGTTAGGCAGTGTACACACACACGAGGTCAAAGCTATAATAAACTTTGTTTTCTGTTAATGTTATCAAGCCATGGGGGTGTTAGATGCCCTTGCTGTGGTTAGAACATCCTATCATACGTCCTTGCATACCCAGCACAGTTCTCACAAAAACCAGTTTACTCCCTCTTCAAGAAAAACTTCAAAGACAGAGCACAAGCTGGATTGTCCAAACCTTAAAGAGGTATACTGATTTCTTGTTCCACAAGAAATTCTACTACACCCAAGGTACTCAAACTTTACTTAATACTCTTGGGTCTGTTCTTCCAAAGGTTGAGGGCTTAGCACAAATACAGTATCCAGGTGCTCATAACCCCTCCCCAGACGCTGTGGCTTGCAAGGCTCGCCCTTCCCCATAACCAACACGAGGAGAGGTAGCTGAGGCTCTGTGCTGCTGCTTCAGAATGATTTCTTTCTCTCTCCTAGGTGAGGATGGGGTATGATGGTTTGGGAGGCAGAACAAAGTTCATACAGCCTGTATCCTTTCCTGCAGCTTGTGTGGCTGGGATAGTGATGCTCTGGGGACCTCATCTCTGTTCCTTCTTTTTGGTCTTGTGCATCTTGGGGAGTCCTGCCCCCAGGACCAAAGGGATCATGAAGGAACCATCAGATTTCTCTCTGTCTGACTCTAAACAAGTCAGAGCTCAGCAAAGGCCTCAAGGATCTGAACTTGCCGAGAGCTTTATCAGAGGTGGCTCATTCGGTGGAGCATATCAACTAGAAATCAATGCAGTTTGCAGGGGCTGCCTGAGCCCTTGGGGTCTCTGAGCAGCAGCGTAGCGCAGTCTCTGCCTGGCTGTGTGTCTGCCATCCCGTGCAGCCAAAGCCTTTGTTCCTGTGGGATGCTGCTGCTCTACCATGGCTATCCCACTGGGTAGCCCTGCAGCGAGTGAGGGGTGGCTGGGCTGAGCTCACTCAGTGCATGGGGAGATGCTCTGACTCCCACTCTTCATGCAGAAGTGGTGGCCTCTCCCCTGTAGAGGCTGCCCCTCACCTACCTCACCCAGGCAATACTGTCAGAGGGCTGTGTCGTACACCTGCGGCTCTGACACGGCTCTAGCTTCCTGGTTTTGAGCTGTGTTTTTCCTCTGTAGCAAAAAAGAAGGCTGAAGCAGAGAAGAAGTGATCAGCTGGAAGGTGTGACCTGCTTTGGGCAGTTGCTTCTGTGGCCTTGCTGTGGCAGGGCAGAGGGTGCCCAGTGAGCAGGGACATGCCTGAGCAGGGCCTCTGAGGCCAGATGTGCCCAGGCTGCCAGCCTGAGGTGAATGGAGAAGGTAAGCAGCCGTCCCAGTGCTGCCCCTCGCACATGGCTGAGCCAGGAGCAGCTCACTTCTCTAAACCCAAGCGCTGCAGGTGTGCTGCTTTGTGGACCTGCAGTTCTGCTGGCATGGGCTGTGCCTGCTTTTCAGCGCTGAAGGTTTAGTTTTTGCCACTTGCATGTCTTGGAACGGCATCTGAGGGCTCTTCGCTTGGGGTCGCTCTGCCTTGGGAGGCTGCAGGCCCCAACTGCTGGGCCTTTCCTTGCACAGTGTCCTGGCCCCAATGTGCAGGGTAGATCTCAAAGCTCTGACAGATGAGGTTAAACACTTTTTTTTGTGTGCAAGGTGAGGGTGGCATAGAAGTGGGAAGCATTCCTTGACTCATGGGACAGGAGCATGCTTGAGCTCTGCTGCTGTGAGTAGGGGACAAAGCCCAGCCTGTCCTGCAGGGAGGGTATATTTTTTTGGGGTGCACATGTATGTCTGGGTTCTGAGTGGGTGACTCAGGCTGCTTTGCAGCAGGTATTGGATCACTTGCATCCCCAGGGCCTTGCTCTGTACTTTCCTTGACATTTTTACCTCCAGACAAACATGACAGAAATCCGTCCATTAGCAGTGAGGAGCAAGAAGAAGGTCTCCAGGCCAGCATCTGCAGCTCCTTCCATGTCTTCCTCCAGCAGCAGCCAAGCCAGGCTGGACAGTTTCCTGCAGTGAGGGCCCCAGTCTTCCTGGGGAGCACTGGGCAGGGCAGAGCCTGCTCACCTGGAGCCTGGCATGAAGCAAAGTGCAACCACCGAGCTTATGGGCGAGATGAGGTGCCCTGGAAGGAGAACCCTGACCTCGCGGCAAGTCAATAGAAGACTTGTGCTTGGACTGGTTTACTACCTCTCGTTTTACCCATCCTTCCTCCTATTTTCATGTAGAATAAGCAGGGTTTTCTCATCTTCTGGCCTGCTCAGAGCTCTGCAGTGGCTGTTAGACTGTGCTACATGAGGTGGAACTGCACTTTGCATGCAGCTGCAAGGAGGAACCTGGAACACCTCTGCACCTGGTGTCAATAGTTCCAAGGGAGTTTCCTGGAGGAAGAAGCTTGGGCAAGGCAGCCCTGGCTTACGTTGCTGCAGGGTGGTTTTATGTTCGTTGTCTGATTAAACACCTTCCCTCTGTTGCAGGCCTGGGTTGGGGAGACCCACAGATGTTCTGTGCCCTGGCTTGGGCCATGAAGTCCACTGCATTTTTATTTTTATTTTTTTTTTGCAGGCTTTCCACTGAAATTGCTTGACTTAAGGAGGAAGGAGGGTGTTGGGGAGTGGACTCCTGCCCTGCTTGGAAAAGGGGAGATAGTTGTGTTGATAGGACCTCTGTTCTTGACACATGTTGGTGTGAAACTTGTATGAATTTCTTTTTTTTTTAATGAGTTTGTAGGGGTTTGGGGGGCGGGGGGGTTTGTGACTGGTCTGCCCAGTGGTTTTGAGGGTTTGGAACGGCCTGAAGAAGTGCTGGAGAGACAGATCCCTTCAGGGAAGGGGGAAACTGATGGGGCTGAACCTGCCTGGGATTCTTCAGCTTGGAGAGTGGGGCAGGAGGGGGT